AGCAAGGGAGGCGGACGCGGCCGCGGGCGTGGCCGCGGCAAGAGCGGCAGGGACGACCAGGAGCAGGGAGGCTCGGGGTGACCGAGGCTTTCCGGGCCGAGTCTGAACCCCGAGCTCGGCCCGGCGCGGTCACTCAAGATCGGGGACAACCTACCAGGTGGAGGCCTTCAAGACGGAGGCATGGGGATCCCTTCCCCTTGCCGCATTTTTCGCCATCCCAGCTCAGCAAGATGGGTGGCAACTTCGAGCAGCGACAGCGGGCTTCTCTGGCACGGGCTTCGCTCAACCACCTCGCTGCTGCTCAGCCGAATGCAGACTTAGTTTTTCAGGCTCGTCAGCCAGCTCGGGCCCCTACTGCCGTTCAGGATTGGATTCTGGACAGCATCGTGGAGCGCGTCGACGCCGTGGGGCCCCCCCCGCCAGGCCTCGCAGCCGAGGGGGCCGCGCGCGAGCTGCTGGCCTCGAAGGACCTGTATAGCCAGGAGCCGAAGCACCTAGCGCCGTTCGACCTGACAAAGCTCAAGGTTGCCAAGGGACGCGCCCGGCCGCGGTCTGTGGCCAACTTCCTTCCTCCGTTGGCTGGGGAGATGATTCGGAACCCAGCGCAGTACATAGAGAAGGATGAGGGGGAGATGGAGTTCACACGTCAGACAACTGATCCCATCAAGCCTTACTGGGATCCAGTGCTTCGTTCTAGCCGACTGGAGCGATGGAGGCTGTTCCGAGTGCTGTACGAGCTGGGGCTCATCACGTTCAGGCCCCGTCTTCGCGCTCGAGCCGCCTTATTTTTTGTGAAGAAAAAGAAACCTGGCGAGATCAGAATGATAGTTGATGCGAGGCAGGCCAACGCCTGCCACCGTGCGCCTCCGACCACTCGCCTTGGGTCGGCAGGCGCCCTCGCGGACCTCGACTTCTCCGACGGGAACGGCTCCTTCGGCGGCGTCGGCAGCGTCGTCGGCTGGGGCCCCCACGGGAACGAGGCGGACGTCGAGGATTGCTTCTACAACTTTTCAATAGACGGGCTGGCTGAGTGGTTCGGCTTCGACGACCCGCTGCCCGTTGCCACTATCAGGGACACCTACGGCATCAACATTGGCTCTTTTTGGGACCCAGATCTCCACAGGATGGTTGCGGCGACTGACGACGTCGTGCTGTACCCGTGCATGCGCGCCATGTGCATGGGCTGGTCTTGGGCCTTGTTTTTCGCTCAGGAAGCCGTATCAGCTATGACCTCCCGCGCCCTTCGGCCTTGCTCGACTCTGGAGCCGGCCATGGTGAGGGAGCACCTCCCAGCGCCTGACCTCAACGAGTCCGGGGTCATGGGCAGCGTCTACGTTGATAACATCACCGTCTTGGGTAAGACTGCCGCTGTGGCCCGTGAGGCCAGTGCCGCCCTTCGCGACGAGGCGGAGCGCTGTGGTCTCCCCATCACTTGGTCGTACCCCGACGTCGTCACTCATCTGGAGACGGTGGGGATCGAGCTTGATCTGAAGCAAGGGCGCCTGCGCAACAAGGCCTCCCGAGTCTGGAGGTTCGACCTGGCCACCCGGGCGCTGCTGGCCCGGGGTAAGATGCGAGGTGAACACATGGAGGTCTGGTTGGGCCACGCGGTCTCCCTGCTGATGCTGGCCCGGCCAGGCTACGCTGCGCTGTCCGCCGTCTACCGGTTTGCGGAGGGGGCATGCGGACTGTCTTGCCTAGCAAGGTCAGACAGGAGATGCGCATCGTGGTCGGGCTGGTCTGGCTCGCGGAGGTCGACCTGGCAGCGCCCTACGTGCCGCACGTGTACGCCAGCGACTCCGCCGACCACGGGTACGGGCTCATGTACAAGAGGGCCTCGCTCGGCGACCTGCGCTCGGCCTTCCGCTGGAAGGAGAAGTGGAGCTTCAAGCAGCACCTCCGAGGGCCGCGCGTGGGTCTTGTGCCTCCGACTGATGTTGCCGACATGGGGGGTACGGCGACGTGATCGACCGGTCCCTGGACTATGAGATCGAGCCTCGCTGTCAGTCTTCCTCGCCTTGCAGCGGCACGGCGCCCGCGACCGCCTTCGGCCAGTGGCTGCAGCGCCGGGCGGAGGAGGGCTCGCCGTCGGCGGGGGCCCACCAGCCGCGCCGCCGCCGCCGGGAGTGCCACGCCTCTTGGCGTGAGGGCGATCTGGAGGTCCCGCCGCCGCAGACCGGACCTCTTGCGCCACCGCTCCCGGCCGCGTGGTGCGAACCCGAGGGCTTCCGCCTGGTGGCGGCGGAGAGGTGGCGCTGGCCGAGTGAGCACATCAATGTGAAGGAGACCCGAGCTGCTGTGATGGGCCTTCGCCATGCCTGTCGCGTCCGCAGCAACTGCGGACGCCGCTTGGTTTCTATCGTCGACTCCATGGTTTGTGTTGGCTGCCTGGAGAAAGGGCGGTCTAGCCGCTCAGCAGCTCTGAACGCACAGTGCCGGCGCGCGGCGGCCTACACGATAGGGTGTAGGGTGCGATGGAGACTTCGATATGTCAACGCGAAGTACAATGTGGCCGACGCCCCTTCGCGTCGGTTCGAACACTCCTCTCCCGACAAAGGTCATCATAAACATATTCACGACGAAGCCCCAACAATTTCTACTTCTCCCTCTCCCTTGAGCACTGTGGTGGGAGTGGGCTCGCTGCCTCCTGGTCTCGGCCTCGCAGGGCATCCGTCCGCCGGCGCCGAGTGTGACATACAGCCAGAAGTGCAGGGTTGCGGGCCGCACGCTGAAACAATTCATCGGTCTTCTTGCCCGTCTTCCACCACAACACCTTCGGTGACCAGCCAAGCCGCCGCACCCCCTCTGCGTCTTGGGCATGCTCAACTTCTGAGGCGGGCCCAGCGAGGCCAGGGCTTCCTGGAGTTGTTCTCGGGCGAGGGCGGGCTTTCGGAGGCCTTCAAGGAGCTCGGCCTGAAGACCTTCCCCGGGATGGACATCAAGGACGGGGCCCACTATGACCTCCTGGATCCCGTGGTGCAGCTCGTTATCTTACAGGGTGTTCGAAAAGGGATGTTCTGGTATGTTCATATGGGTACCCCCTGCTGTATTTGGTCTAGGGCTCGCCACGGTATGGTCAACCTCGAGAGAGCCCGACACAAGGAACGTATTGGTGTAGCTCTGGCTTTATTCAGCTGTCGTGTTGCCTACGAGTGTTCAAGACATGGAGTTTTCTGGAGTATTGAGAACCCGAGGACCTCGAGGCTCTGGGATTTTGACCCCGTTCGAGAGCTCACCAACCTTCCCGACGTGATTCAGATTTTTCTCGTGCACTGCAGCTATGGGGCCCCGCACTTGAAGCGGACTAAGATCCTCCTCACGAATTTCTTTGCCCTGTCGTCCCTGAGCTCAGAGTGCTCCAGAGACCACACGCACGTGGAGCTTAGGGGTTTCGAGACAGTTACGTTGCCATCTGGGGCTCGGGTCAGACGTAATCGGACCGCTGGAGCGGGAGCCTACCCCCGCGGGCTCTGCAAGGCATGGGCTCAGGCGGCCGCTCTGACCGCGCCTGCCGGCGCCCGCGGCGACGTGGGCGCTGCTGACGGCGGCGACCTGGAGGCACAGCTCCGGGATGCTTCGCAGCGGCCAGCTTCGCGTGCCCGAGAGCGCCTCAGGCCGGCTCGGCCGCGGCTCCAAGCGGAGCCTGACCTCGGGCTCTCTGCAGCCGCCGACCCAAACGCCCTCGAGAGCCGGTACGACCACCTCCGGCCGTTCGTCGTCTTTGGCCAGGACTCCAACCTCGAGGCGGCTCGGAAGCAGGCGGCCCGCGCCAAGAGAGGCCCAAAGGGTCGCTGGCCGTCGCTGCCGCGCCTCTAAGTTCGTGGAGTCCATCAAGGGTCACACGTTCAACTTCGGGCCCCGCGCTCCTGTCCCTGCTGATGGAGGCGTGGCCCGTTTTGGTTCCGTCACCGCGATCTCCTTGGAACGGTACGGCACCGCGGTTCGTGACTTCTTCGACTGGGCCACGCGAGGTGATGAGGACCTGAGGAAGGCACCCGAATCCAAAATTGACCAGTTAATGTGCAAGTATTTTGACAAGCTGATGAGTGATGCAAGACACCCCGCTGAGGGCCGCTATGCTCTCTGGGGCTACCTGACTTTCTTCCCGCGCTCTGACATCGCCAAGTCTGCCCGCCTCATGATGGCCAGGGAGGCTATGAAAGGCTGGACCCGCCGTTTTCCTGGCTCGTCTCGCCACCCATGGCCGCTGTCAGTTTTCTTCCTGTTCATGACAGTCTTTATGAAAGACAAGCACATCGGAGCCGCAGTAGCCTTAGCCATCCAGCTGGACGCCTACCTGAGACCCTCAGAGATCTGCGACCTACGGTGGTGCTCAGTGGTTCGCCCTTCGTCATCATCGTCGCGTCTAGCCCGAGGCCGCTGGGCCGTTGTTATCGGCAACTCAGATCTTGGTGAGACCACCAAGACAGGCGAGTGCGACGACACCGTGGTGCTCAACTCGCCAGGCCGAGACTGGGTCGGCTCGGTCCTCGAGATGTGGGCCCGGCGGCGCCCGTCGAGCTCGCGCCCAGAGGATCCAGTGTTCCCGAACCTGTCCTTGGCCAAGTATGAGGCTCTTTTTAGACAGTACAGCCGGTCCGTCTTAGGTAAGACTGGCCACCTGACGCCGCACGTTGCACGCCACTCGGCGCCATCCCATGATGTTCTGACGGGCGCTCGCAGCCTGAGCATGGTGCAGAAGCGTGGCAGGTGGGCTCATCCCAAGTCTGTGAAACGATATGAGAAGAGCGGCCGCCTCTTGCTTCAGGCTGCTCGCCTCCCGCCAGAGCTCGCAAGACGAGCTGCAGCAGCGGAGGCCTCCATTTTTCAGTGTTTCCAAGAGGCCCTCCAGTAATCAATGTCGGTATGGGTGCAGTTGTGCCAAGGCCTTTGCGTTCTCCTCAGCGTTTTTTGCAATCGATGTGCAAGCTTCGGAAGGAATGTTTTGCAGTGCTCGCCTGATGCATGTTGAAAAAGCTATTCACGTCTGCTTCGCAGTGTCACTGGGCCAATTTAGAATGGACAGAGGTGTTTATAATCTTTGATTGTTATATCTCTCAATTCGGTGTGGCCCGCTTGTTGGTCTGTAACCATCTCGCTCAAGTCTCCCTCCCTGTTTCACCCTCCCTTGGGGTGCAGTTGTGCCAGGGCCTTTGCGTTCTCCTCAGCGTTTTTTGCAATCGATGTGCAAGCTTCGGAAGGAATGTTTTGCAGTGCTCGCCTGATGCATGTTGAAAAAGCTATTCACGTCTGCTTCGCAGTGTCACTGGGCCAATTTAGAATGGACAGAGGTGCATATATAACTCTTGGCGCTCCGAACGGATTTCTTGGATCCGCGCTGGGATCTCCTGGGCGGCGCCTCTGGTGCCGCCCCTGGCGCGCCCCGCGTGCCAGGGAGGGGGGTCCAGCGCGGATCCAAGCAATCCGCGCGGAGCGCCAAGACTATGCTTATGCCGCTTCTTCCTCTAGGAAAGGCCCCGGGCCCAGACCCCCTCAAGTCATGAAAGAATCGCGATGGGAGGTTCTTCGCCATTTTCTGCCTCTGCGAGGGCCCTCGCCGGGCCTCGCGACCGTCAGAAAACGACTCGGGATGACGAGCCGCTGTGAGGCCCCTCTAGACACGTTTTGGAGCCCTCGTCAGACCGCCCTGCCGCTCCTCCGGGCCGTTGCTATGGTGTCTGGGGCCTTCGTGGGGCGCCCGGAGGCCGTCGTGGAGCCTTTTGGAGAGTCTCTTGGGGTGCCAGAGGTCGGTCTTGGAGGTTTACTGGGCCGTTGTGGGCCTCGTGGAAGCCCGTGAAGCGAATATGCTGAAATTGTACGTTTTCCAAGGGGAACGACACGGTTGTTGCTTTTTGGAGGCCTGCTTGGAGCGCCTCGTGGTCGCGTTTTCAAGCGGCTTAGACACCCATGGGGCCGTCTGGCGGCGATCTTGGGCGGTTTGGACCGAATCGTCCCCCGCGTGGGCCGTCCGGACAGCCTTTGGGAGCCCTCTTGGCCCGCTTCGGAGCCCTCTTGGGACCGTCCTGCGGCTTTCCTAGGCCGTTGCTATGGTTTCTGGAGCCTTCGTGGATCGCCCGGCAGCCGTCTTGGAGCCTTCTTGGGAGCCTCTTCGGGTGACAGGGGTCGATCTTGGAGATTTATTGGGCCGTTGTGGGCCTCGTGAAAGCCCAAGAAGCGAATGTGCTGAAAATGTACGTTTTACCTGGGGAATAGGACGGTGTTTACTTTTTGGAGGCCTTCTTGGAGCGCTGCGTGGTCGCGTTTTCCCCCCCCCTTTCCTCCTCCCCCCCCCCCCCCCCCTTCCCACCCCCCCCCCCCCCCCCCCCGCCCGCCCCCCTACCCCCCCCGTCAATCACAGGTGCCCTAGCTTGATATCCAAGTCCAGCTTCTCGCTGGCCCTTCCCCTCCCCCCCCCATCACAGCCCGCCCCCTTTTCCCCATACGTGTCCCCCCCCCCATAACCCCCCCCTTTTTCCCCTTCCCCCCACCCCCCCCCCCCCCATTCCGCCCCCCCCCCCTTTCAAGCGGCTTAGACACCCATGGGGCCGTCTGGCGGCGATCTTGGGCGGTTTGGACCGAATCGTCCCCCGCGTGGGCCGTCCAGACAGCCTTTGGGGGCCCTCTTGCCCCGTTTTGGAGCCCTCTTGGGACCGTCCTGTGGCTTTCCTGAGCCGTTGCTATGGTTTCTGGGGCCTTCGTGGATCGCCCAGACGCCGTCTTGGAGCCTTTTTGTGAGCTTATTGGGCTGGCGAGGGTCGATCTTGGAGGCTTCTTGGGCCGTTTTACGCCGTGCGGAAGCCGAATGGGCGAACGTGGTGAAAATGCACGCTTTCGTTAGTAAATGAGACTATTTTTGCTTCCGGAGGGCCTCTTTGGGGTGCCTCGTAAACCTGTTTCAAACGTCTTGGGGACTTATGGAGCCATGTGGAGGCAATCTTCGGCGTTTGGGGGCGATCTGTCGTCGATTCGTAGCTTTCTTGGACCGTTCCGGAACCTTTGGAACCTTTTTGGCCCGTTTTGGGGCCTCCTGAGGCTCCAAGTGTGCGGATGATGGGATTGCCCCCCCTCCCCTCCAAACCGGCCGGACCAGGCCCCCGGGGGGAGGGGTTTGGGGAGGGGGAAGCATCTCACACTCCGTGACCCCGAGGAATCGGCGGATTCATTGTTTTGCCGATCGGCGCGGGCCCTCGCACCCCCCCCTTCCCCCCAATATAGAGTAGGTTTTGGCTGTTTTTGCGGCGCCTGTTTCGAGCAGGTAAGGTCTCCCCCATAGGACGCACTGCTGGAAACAGTCGCACTTAGCAGAGGTCCAGAGCCAGACCCCCTCCCCCCCCATTCCGCCCAATGTCGAAACGCTGGATAAAAAAGCGCTCACAAAAGCAGCCGTCACGACATTGTCGAACTGCCGCATGGCGAGGCTTCCCTCAGGATCGTTCGGTAGCAAGTCATGGGAACCTTGCAAGTATATCCCTTCGCAATTCTGTCTTAAGAATACATGTGCGCTTCGATTAGCGTCTGATGTCGATGGGATAGCGTTGGTGAGCGTCGACTGGCGTCGACTAGCGTTTGGTCGGGCCTGTCCCTCTACAGGAGGAATGTTCAAAAATAGTCCACAAATAGTCAGGGGATTATTATTCATTGCTTTTTGAGAATTTGGAGGGCATCTTCTGCGTTTTTTGGATGTTTCGCCCGAAATCCACCTGTAGGGGGACACGCCCGACCTAAGACTAGCGTCGAGCAGCGATGGTTCGCGAGAGCCCACCAGATGGTATGGGAGGCTTCCATGAGTTGCCACAGATCGGCGGCGAGCGAGGGGGGCAAGGGAGAACGATAAGGACTTCTCAGAAGGCGGCGGGGCTTCCCGGAATCCCTCTGGCCGTCTGAGACGTTTCCTGCGTCCCCGGGGAAGGCCCGCAACAGAATTCTCCGAAGGCCGGGTGACTTCCGAACCTTCTTAGAAGGCCCGCCCCTTTCTCACTTCCGCCCTGGGCCCGCCGTCGCACAGAAGGATGTCGGCATCCCGCAAAAGGGGGTGTACCGAGTGTGCGTGAGAGAGATAGAGAGGGAGAGAGAGTTCGATCGGTTTTTGCACCGAGCCGCCCCGCCGGCAGCTCCCGTCAGTTGCCGATAGGTGGGGCATGCGGGGAGCATCGGTTTGTGGCAGCTCGGTGCACCAGAGGATCGAGCTCACGCCCCCCCTCTCAGGGTCACCCCCCCCTTTCGGTGGACCCCGAGGATGGAGTGCCCGAAGTGCGGCTACAAGTCCACGCCCCAGTGGCTGAACGACGCGGCGCACTGCCTTAAGTGCCAGACCGTGCTTCGGCGGCGCCCCGCGGGGTCCACCGGCGCGGGCCAGGCGGTGCAGGACGCGGAGCGGAGGCAGGCTGGCGAGGCGGTCGGCGGAGGGCGTCGTCGCCGCTGCCACGCACCAGGAGGAGGAGGAGGAGGAGGAGGAGGAGGAGGAGGCTTTCAGAAGTTGATTCTTGTTCTTCTTTGAGGAGGATGTTTTGAGAGGTTCCTTCGATGACAAGAGGTTTCCCAGTCTCTCGAGGAAGAGAACACACACCATACACACACGCACACACTTTCGGCGATCCGCGCGGACTTCTTGGATCTGCGCTGCGCCCCCCCGGTCGCGCCTCCGGCGCCCCCCCTGGCGCGCGCCGCGCGCCAGGGTTTAATCAGAATGATGGAGCTGAACCGAACGGTCATTCATTGTCCCTGAGTGTTTGGTTGAAGTGGAATTCCGCGATGCGGATTATTGTTGTTGTTGTTGTTGAACATTATTTATTCTAAAGAATAATTATTGTTGGGCCCCCTGGTGCGCGCCCCCCCTGCGCCGCCTAGGCCGCAGCTACATTTTCATCATTTTCGTGAGGAAGCCTCAGAAAAGAGGGTGTGTACAGGATCCGGTTGTTTTGTTGTAATCCGCTTTCCCTTGCAAAAAAAACAATAGAAAATGACATTTCTTGTTCTAATATAATCAAATTTCAAGAATCCCTTGCAAAAAATAAGGTAAAGTGACATTCGCGCGCGCAAGACGAAATCCTTCCAAAACCTTAGTGTTCGCAGCGATTTTAACATAAAAACATCAAAAAACCAATGGTTTTTCAACAAAAAAATGTCAAAATCTCATCCCGCGCGCTCTTGCGGATTCGTAGGAAACCCAACACTTTTAAAACATTTCTGTCAAACGGGCTTTTGCGAGCAACTTTTTCGAACTTCTGCAACAACGGTTGCGCACCTGCCAGGGCCATCATCCCTGTCAATATACCATGCGGGACCACAGATATCGTGTTTTTTTTCCTCCTGATGCGGATCCGCGGGGCGCGCCGGGTACAGGCACCTGTTTTTTCTGTCGGGGGTCGCGGGCCGCGTCTCGTTCGAGTAAGGCCTACCGAGGACTCTGCTGCACGCAGGACACGAAAGTGAAGCTGTGTCTATAACTTCTCATCGATAGGGCGGGAAGCTGGGTGTGGTGGTGGCGAAGAGTCGTTTGGAAACTTGGTAGAGCTTGAACCGGCCCCCCCACAAAGTGGGGGTATTGCCCGCCTCCTATGAAAACCCTGGCACTGGTGAGAACGGAGTGTCCCCAGTCTGAAATGATTGTTGTTGTTGTTGTTGTTTGGATTCTCATTTCTGAAAGAATTGTTTGATTCCCCCCACGGTGCAGATGTTTTTTTCTCATCAAGTGTGTATGGCCGGCCATACTGGACGTCTCACATCGGGGCACGTACTTGTTTAGGTTTGTGAGTGGCGAGAAGGTTGGGGGGTTCCACTACGTGACCAGTGGAGCCATGAGTTCAAACAGTGTGTGCGGAGTGCGGTTAAAGTGGCCCGGGCCCAACGGTTCGA